TAGGCTAGTGCCCATTAAGTGCAATCCCCCTTACTGCCAACTTTTGTCCAGTCATGATAAGCCAAGACATTGCTCTCTCTGTCACCTCCTCTCTCAGCATGGTACACATGATTAGCGTGGCCCCAGTTTCCCCCTGGCTTGCTCCCTGGCCTTTTGGCTAAGAGCAAGTGAAACTAGGGGGCACCCAAAACCCAGGGGCCCTGGGACCTGGGCTTGCACATAGGATGTCTGCCATAGATTTGGGAAGTAGCTGAAGCCCTAGACTGATGAGTCTGGGAAGGAGAATACTTGCCTGGTGGTAGAACCACATGGATTTAAATGACTGAACTCAGCTGAAACTTGGAACTTGACTATTGGGTTTTGCCCAACAGAATTTGGATGCAATTTGGCCCTTGAAACAACAACAAAAAATGCACAGTTTATGCCACTTGAACCCCCCCCCCCCGATTTATTTCCCTGCTGTAGCAATGGGAGGGGGACAAATTCAAGGCAAACTGGCAATAACTAGATTCTACACCTGGAAAATTATAACACAGGTATAAATAATGTTCCATATATAGAATTTAATTACTATGGGGGTGTTGTCTTATAATTAGGTTTGTCTGCTATTTGAGTAAATATCTAACTGGTCAACATACCTAAGAATTTGTTTATTATACTGAATCTGTTCCTGACACATTTAATGGATTATTGTAATCTTAGGAAAACTTAGATTCTTAGGGAAACTAGGTATTTTTCTATTAAAAGTCTGGTTTATAATAAAAAAATTATCTTACAGTTTTAAGACACAGAAATGATGCATAACAGAAATCATTTTGGGGGGTTGGGTGCCATTTACAGATTTAAACAGTTTGCTCAAAATCCTGAGAAGTAAGAAGTAGTGATTGCAGTTACTACCAGTTACCATTAAACAATTATATTTCACTTGGGACATGGCTGCAATTCACTGGTTGGTAAAATGAATTGTTCACTTGCAACAAATAATATTAACTTGTGCCGATTTTATAACTGTTATGTCTAAACACACAATTTTTGTCAAAGATTCCTGGAGAATAGATAAATTCCTGTGGAGTACTCCCAGAGCAAGCCAATGTTCCAAGTAAAGGCCTAAGGAAAAAGAAACAAAGGAAAAACAGTTCCTTTCTTTTCAAACTACTTCAGCACATATCCATCAGGTGTTACTGAGGAGGGCAGTCTGCATTACTTCTTAAACAATAGGGAATTCCTTTGGAACAAACCTAGACCATTTCATGTACTTGGGACCATCAAAAATGATTTTACCTGGTCTTTGCTGGATTACTGTAGAAAGCATGGAACCTTTAATGATACTGTAGTCTCATACCTAAGCTGAGATACTTCAGTTCTGGTTTGGAGGAGTGCGGGGGAGGGGAGAAGCTTTTTTTTTTCTTCCCTGAGGCTACCTTAATGCAAAAAAGTTTGACAAAAGGGGTCTTGGGAGGGCGGTTCTTTTGCTTTTCCATTCTGTCTGCATTTCTCTTCTTAAAACTATTCCTTTCCACTGCCTGTTAAACTTTAAGCATCTGCTGGAAATTTAGCCAGGCAACAGTTACAGGAAAAAATATAATCCTGTTATCCTGCAGTATCCTAACAGTTAGAAACTAAAAGAACAAGAATTTCCTGGTGCACAACAATCTATTATCTCACAAGCTACTCCTAACGCCTCTTCCATCTCAACACCGAAAGTTTACAAAACCTGTCCTATATTTAACTCCAACAATACAGCTGCAACTATTTCTAACAAGTATGTCTCCTCTTCTGGAGTCATGCTACAAAAGAACCAAACTCAACCAATATTCAATTACATCTTCATCATTGTTCTATCACTTTTAAACTCTCAAAGGCCAACAGCAGTAATAGCAGCAAATATCTCTCTCAAACAAAGAATGCAACATAAAAATACACAATACCCTTGAACAGCCAAATAGCTGGGAATCAAAGCTTCTTCGCTGATATAACAAAAAAAAGGAACAGAGTTGAGTTATGTGTAAATCAAACCCCTGTCTTCAAACTTTCATAAAATCTGTTTTGGGAGAAGGTTCTCACAAATTGTACAAGGCTTGTGATCACAGTAGTGCTATGATCCAGGAGAAGAGAAACTCTAAGGGATGCTCAACTGATACAGAGACTTTCCTTAGTGCTAAGGCTGTAGCTAATACCATTAAAATATACAATGTTACAGAAAAGATACAATTTTTCTCAACTGAAAGATTATTTATTCTTAGTAACAACAATTAGGCCTGTGCAAGTAGGCAGCTATTCAATCCCGTTTCGGATCCGGCCACTTTGGATGCCAGGGATCCAACCCGGAGCTCCAGATCGGTTTCCCACTTCAATCCGGCCTCGGAGATCAGGCCATCGAGTATAATGGGGAATCAATGAAATAGCTATAACTTTGTTGGTTTTTGTCTGATTTTGATGAAACTTGCAGGAATGGTAGCCTCTGCTGAGAGCATGAAGTCTGACAAGTTTCAAGAAGATCGGTGTAGGGGTTTGGAGGGAACTGTACCCCAAATTCTTGAAAGCAAAACTCATGTCATGTGTATATGTTAAGCCACAGTGGGGTGAAAACTGCAGGGATGGTAGCCCCCGGTGAGGCCACAAAGTCTGCCAAGTTTCAAGGAGATAGGTGCAGGGGTTTGGGGGAAACTGCACCTCAAGCTGCGGACAAGCAAAACTTGTGACATGGGTGACACTGTGTATGTTAAGGCGCAGTGGGGTGACAGCTACAGGGATGGTAGCCCCTACTGCGGCCATGAAGCCTGCCAGCTGTCAAGGAGATTGGTGCAGGGGTTCTGGGGCCCTGCATCTCTAGCTGCTGACAGGGAAAACTCGTGACATAGGTGCTTGTGCAACTGTGTCTGTCTTGGGGCACAGGAGTGGAGGAGGGGATGGGACTACTGCAGGCCTGGCTGCTAAGCTACTGTGTTACCAGTTACCAATCAATCATGATTCACTCAGGGACCAGCTCAATACACAGTACCTAGCTACTACATAACGAGTTAACGAGCAAGGATTAACACCTACAAAACCACAGACGAAGGAGAGGAAAGAATCAATACAATCAACTGCCCCAAGACAGATACAGTCAGCTGCACAAGCACCCATGTCATGAGTTTTGCCTGTCAGCAGCCAGAGGTGCAGGGCCCAGAGCCCACCTATCTTCTTGAAATTTGGCAGGCTTTGTGGCCTCAGCAGGGGCTACCATCCCTGCAGTCATCCAAATCAGACAAAAAACAACAAAGTTATAGATATTTCATTGATTCCCCATTATACCCAATGGCCAGATCTCCGAAGCGGCTCTGAACCACTTTGGAAAGTGCTTCGATCCGGACATACTGCTTCGAACACCGAAGCATCCGAAGCGTCTCTGGATCTGAAGCACAGCCCGAATCCCTAACAACAATCCATTCTGGCAGAATGAAGGGGTAAAAGCAAACATCCAAACCTGCCATTCCCACTGGAAATCCCAGCACAGGAAAAAGGAATATGGTCAGAATACTACTGCACTCTAGCTATTCTTGGCCCTCACAATCACTCTGTTGTTGGGAAAGTACCCATCCAGGATTAAAGTTCTGCAACGAACTTTGTTTGGAGCCACTTCTGCCCCAGCTGTGGCCCGCAGATATTGGAAATAAATGAAAATGTTGCCCACTGGGCACATCTACACATTCACTAATGTGTTTTAGGTAACACACATTAAATCTAGTACCTCTAGGCATTTATATATGTGCTCGGGGGGGGGGGGGGGGG